GGAAATTATCTCTTTATGGGACTCTCAGTTGTGTTGTAATTGAAATGCAGGGCGATGGCTGGTGCTGCTCGGAGCACAAGCATCGTGGTTAACGAAGGGTTACGGTTCCCGATAGCTTCATTTAGAAACTGTCACCCATGTTTTGGGTGGCGCGTGGTTTATGGGTGTTGCTGGAAGATTACTTTTCCCAGGGGGGTTTGGGGTGAATTGTTAAATTTCATTTATAAAAAAAAAACCCTGATGCTGCAGGGTGATGGGTCGCGCTGTTGATGCCCCCCCTGTGCCTTCCCCCACGTGTCCCCACCATACGCCGTGGAGGTGGCAGGTTGAATGGGAGCCCTGTTAGAGCTGGGACAAGAGCCCCATCAGACTGGGGGGGCTGGTTTGTCAGTCCCCTCCCATCCTGCTCCTTGCACAATCCATCCTGGGGACCACGCTGGGACACGGGGGCTGCTGGGCAGGGGGGACAGTGAGCCCGGAGAGCCACCCTCCTGGAGACTGCTCTGTGTCTCACCAGTTTGGGTAGTTTTCCAAATTGATTCTTGCCTGGAGCATTGTCTTTTGGAAAAGCCATCCAGTGCCCGGAGAAAAAGGTGAGGGAGGGCTGAGAACCCGCCGCCGTCGTTTACTGTGCTGGTAATTTATCGCGATGATTATTGTCTGTGCTGTTGGAGAAAAAAAAAAAATTGCACTTTGCCCTCAGTCTGAATCTGCGTCGTTTCGAGTTCCCGCAGCACTGGGTGGTGGTACCTGCTCCCTCTGAAGGACCCGCTTGGCATCTCCTGAAGGTCCCCAGGTTCCTCCTGGGCAGTTCCCGCTCTGCGTAACCCCCTTCTTGCACCGTCCCCGTGTCTTCAAGCCCCTCAGTCACTCCTGGAGTCTTCTCCAGACCTTATTCAGAGGTGGCAGAAGGCTCCAGATCCCTGCGGTGACCGCGGAGTGCGGTGCAAAGAGGCAAAACTGTCTCTTCTCCTCCTGGAGATCCCCAATGTGTCCACCCCACGAGCCCCGATAGTCCTCTGCGCAGTGGAGGAGCTGGGGGACGTGTTCCTGCCTTTGAGGTGAGTGTCCTTTAAGCAATTTATATTTTTAAGGCGTATCTTAACATGTCAGTTCAGAACTGTGCTGCTTCCTTCTTTCCATTCTGTACGGTCAAGTCGTTCTCCTCCGTATTTAGGGCTCTGCTGGTGTTGAGTCACTTACACAGCACTGATTTTCCTGTTTCCTTCCCAATTGCTGCCAGAAATATTCCGAAGCAGGAGGTGAGAGCCTGGTTTCTGCTGCAGGCAGGTCCCTTTGAGATGGGTCAGTTAAATAGTTACCCATTTCCCTGCTCTTTAAACCAGTCTGTTTGACTAGCGCTCCCTTTTACCGGCGCGGAGACCTCGAGTGAGATGAGAAAGCTTTTTTTTTTTTTCTCTCTGGAATTAATTGGGGTTCCTGACACTCCGTCCTTGGACTGAATCCTGCTCGTTTTGTTGGGGCCATCACATCTTCTGCCTCTCCTCCAGCCTTTCTGGCACGATCGTCCAAAATTTGAAGGTGTAGATTACTTGGAGCTGTTGTTTAAGAAAAGTCTATATTTAGTGCCTGCTGGTTAAGATCATCCCAGATGACTCTTGACAACAAACTTGACCGTATCGTTTTACTTTTCTCCTTCGGGCAGCGCTGAAGTATGTATTGACCATTTCTCCCTTTTCTGCATCGTTTCTGCCGTTCTCTCCCACTTTGGTGTTGTCAGTGGGACTCCTTCTTGTCCTTAAGGTCTATAAAACCCCCTGTATCCTCTTTTCTAACAGAACCTGGTGTTTAAATTACGGTCCCGTGCATTTTTAAGGCGGTGCTGTGATTGTGGGGACCTCATCGTGGTTTACGAAGTCCAGGATTCATGAATTCCTTCACTCGTTGGTGTAGCAAGTTGATAACCTATTTTTCCGTGTGGTGAAGGTGGACATTTTTGCCGCCCTGTTTGTACTGGGAAATTGTTCAGATTTGTGCTCTGACAAAATACCTGGCACAGCCCCCTTCCCCATCGCCTGCTGGAGGCTTCAGAGCCAGGCTGGGATGCGGCATTTGGGTCAGTTCTCCTCGGGATGCCTCTTCTGGAGGGGGCTTCGTGGTTTGTTGGTGCCAGGGCTCTGTCCTTTGGGCTTCCCGTTTCCACCGAGGAATGCATTTCTCCTCCTGCTTTTCAGCTGTGGGGTGGAAGAGATATATGGGGAGTATTCAAAGGTGGAGAGTCCTGGGGTGGAAAATGCAGATTTTTAAAATTGATTTATTTTTTCCTTTTTACTGCGTGTTCACGCTGTCATAAATGAGCTCGAGGAAGGCTGGGCAGGACGGTGTTTCTGCCAGCCCAAATAAAAGCAGGGACTGTTTTCATTTCCACTTACTTCTAGATAGATTTTTTTTTTTTTTTTTCCCTCTCCTTTCCGAGACAGGCTGCAAATTTTGGGCTTTTATGCGTGCTGAGCCCTGGGGGGGCTCATCCCCCTGCGTGGGAATTGGGCCCCTCCAGGGAATGAAGCATCCTAACGTTAGGAAAATGGTCCTCTGCGGGGATTACTTCTCCAGCTGGATGGTCGCCTGGGGGGTACCTTGCTTTGGGACAACCAGGAGCCAGGTCATAAGGAACTGTACCCCCAGCTCAGAGCAGCCCAGGGGGGGAAATATTTCAGTGCCCCTCCCCGAAGGAGCCAAACCTGCAGTAGTTTTTGGCTTTACGTGCTGCTGACACCTCGCAGGAGCAGGGGAGTGTGTTACAGCAACAGATTCTGCATTATTCCGGCCTCGCAGAGCGTCTCCCTGCGATACTAAAAACACCGGCTGAAACTCAAACCCAAACCCTGAATGAATGAGGCCGTGGAACGGCTCCGGGCGCGTTTCGGTGCTGCTGGGGCTTTGATTGAAATGGGTAAACAGGGAGAGTGGGTGTTTGCTTTGACTCCTTCCTCGCAGCGAAAGGCTTCCTTTGAGGGAAGGTGAAGCCTCCAGCACCGTTCCCCATCTCAGCATCAGCCCATTCTGCCCGTGGCTTGGGGCTGGTGATGCCGTCCCCTCAGGACCCGTGCTGCCAGACTTGCCCAGCAGCAGTGGGAAACCCCTGATTTCCCCAAATATCAGGGATCCCTTGTGCCCGGGGCTCTGCTCATGGGTATAAATAACCCTCACAGAGCCTAATTTCTCCATCTGGATGCAACGTGGTCATCCCACCCTGCTGGGATGATGCTGCAGGACATCCTTGGCTCTTGAAGGCATCTCCGCCTGCTTGTCCCAAACTTTTAAGCTCTGTTACCCCTCAAAGCTTTCCAAAATCATGTCCAGCTTTGACTCTACCAGGTTTATGTGTGGGAAATAGCCTTGCCGTGCAGCGGGTGGTCGCTGGAGGAGGCAGGGTGGTTGCAGCCCATCCTCTCCTTGCCCTCTTGCCTTAGGAAGAGCCCCCTCATCCTCCCCACGCATCCCCTTATCTCCACCAGAGCTATTGACACCAGCTCCTTGGCAGCCCGTGCACGTAGGAGCCGTCTTCTGGTAACAGATTGTTATGTATTTAATGAACCCGAGGAAAAACAAGAAATTTGAAGGCTGCGGGGCGATACAAGTTTGCTGTTCAGTCTGCCAAATTCGCGCTAATTCAGACAACTCGCAGATGTTTGGCTCCTCGTTCTTTGAAGAGATTTATGTGAGGTACAGGACTTGGAAATTTATTCCCTGTGTCGGGGAGAAGGAGGTGGCAGCTTGAGCAAAGGCTTCCCAGCCCTGGAGGACTCCTTCCTGATCTCCATGGATGCGCCGCTGCCGTTCCTTCCTCTTGCCAGTGCAATGTTGATGGCAACGAAGGGACAAACAGCAGGGAAATGTGCCTTTCAGTCGCTAGGAGGATTAATAAAGGCTCCGGGTTCGTCTTTCAGGAGCCGAGGAGCTCTTTGAAAGCTATTTCTCAGCTGAGGAATGAAACCCCAGAGATTGCCCAAGAGCAGAAGTACTCTGGTCTAATGCAAACAGAGGTCTCGGAGGGTTTGCAGGTGACAACAGGCACATGTGGTGCCCTGTGTGGGCACAGAGAGTGTCCGCTGAAAGCATTTGAAACTCTTAAAATGTTGCCTACCTAGTTCGGGTAAATAATTTCAAATTTTGGAAGGTCCTAAGTGATCGTTTTGCTGGGCTTCCCATGAAGTTCAGCAGTCTTGGGGTGTTTATCCATAAAGGGGCAGTGGTAGGAGATGATGCCAAGTCTGGCAGTCGATGCCTGCATCCAGTATTTCCCTGCTTTAAATTCAGGTATTTCTTTAGGGGCCATCAGCCTCTACTAGTTCTCCAGCTCAGCCTTGAAAAAGGGAGAAATGTGACTTGCAAAATCTGTTCTGGGAACAGTCATGGGGTTCTCCTGGCCCTTGGCAAGCTTCCCTCAATTACCCTACGAGATGTCCCAGATCTTGCTCCTGCTTGGTCCATGTAGTGGATTTCTGGTGGTCACTGAAGACATTTTGGTCAGCTTTTGCAGCTGCAAAACGTGCTTCTCACTGCGACCCCAAGAGCAAGGGAGCAGGGAAGCCCGGGCTGGCCAAGAAGCCCCCCCACCATAACCCTCAGAGCTTTAGTATCCACCTGGAAGTAGGTGGACATCGTGTTGCAGAGGTAGGTATTAAGGTGGGTTTATCGTGCTATTTGAAATGGTTTATGGCTGGAGAAGTGAGTCTGTAAAAATGGCACTGTGGGGCTGTGTTTACTGTCTCCATCTCCGACGTTTCAGGCTGTTATATGGGAAAAGAATCTAAGGAAGAAACAAGAATTGCTTTTTTGTGTCTGTTTACTAGAGCAGCACGCTCCAAGCGGTAATTAAAAGTAAACCTGGACTCTGCTGGCTTGTTCAGCATCCCTCGTTGTGGAGATTAAGCAGCCAAAGCAATTCTCAATTCAGCAATTCCTCAGCTTTCGGGAGCGTGGCCAACACTCACAGTGTCTCACAGACCATTGCAAATTCTTGTAATAAATCTCACAATTGGGGGAAGGGAGAAAAAAAAAAAAAAAAAAAAGAAAGGGGAGATGTTTCCCGCCTTTCCCCCCGGCCCGGCCCCCCCCTTTTTTTTTTTTTTTTTTTTTTTTTAAAAAAACCCAGGGGGAAAAAAAAAAAAAAAAAAAAGCAGAAAGGTGAGATGGTTCGTTGGGACCAGCAGGCTGGACTGCTGCTGGCCCTTCAGCTGCCCTTCTCCAGAGACATCCCTTGGTCCAATATTTCCAGTGTTCCTTGGAAATATTACTCAAAATTAGCAGCAGTCCCCTAATGAGGGGATTAGGCAGGGATTACAGGTTTGCTCAAAGAGAACGTGCCTTCTCAACAGTTGCTGGGACTAAGAGCGTCCTGTAGGATAAGTCTACATGGCCCACATGGCGCCGTGCGTTGGCAGCGTCTGTCCCCAAGGCAGTGTGGCTGCTGGGAGGGCTGTGTTCCTCTGGGAGTCCCCTGGGACCAGGAGGATGCTGGGCTCCTTGGGGCTGAGCTTTGCTGCAGTGGGTCTGGGCCAAACTGGTCCTGGCGTTGCGATGTGCTGGGGATGCCCCCTCAAACTGGAGCAGGTCGTCAACCTGGTGGCCAGCTAAGGAGTGACTCCTTTGAAGGTCTGATGCTGGCTCTCCACACGAATTTATGTGTAGGCTGAATGTGCAATCAAGAGGTAATGAAGACCCCATATTAGTGCTCAAAACATGTGTTTTCTTCTCTTTAACTACTCTGCCTGAGTTTTCATGGGGCGAGCTGGGTCCTGTGTGGTCACTTGGCACATCTAACGGGCACCTCTCCGCTGGGGACCAGCAGTTCGTGCCTCTCGCTTGCCAATTGCTCTTTTGCAATGACTAATTTTGCTCTCTTCTTCTCCTTTTCAGTTGCCAGGGAGGAAAAGGCAAAGTCACTGCCAGCACCATTTTCTTCAGGCTAAGATGTTGAGACAAAGCCACCTCTGCTCTTAGTTTGTCCCTTCAGTCCCTTTCTGCTGCTGGTGTGTAAGGGAGTCCTTCCCCAGCCACTCTTCTTCCCTAACATCACAGGCCCAATAAACCTGAT